TTTTTTTTCTTTCTATAGAAAGAAAAATCCTGGATTAATTTACATAAGCTGTGAAAGCACAGAGTGACCTGCATTCTCACCATTAATACAATAATTCTGTTACCTTTTTTTATCAGAGTCTTATATTTTTCAATAGTTTGAAACATCACTAAACTGACAAGTCACCTGTGTGTTCAAATTGTTCTTAAAAACTGCACCCAAATACCACAGAATATAAGTAGTAACCTGAAAACCTCTTTTTATGTTATGATTGGACTTCTGTGCCATTGATGCGGCTAAGGGCTAATGAGGATTCTGTTTCCTTTGTCCATGTAGACACAAATAAAAGGGAGGTGAACCTTAGTTCTTCAAGGTCCTTCTCCTTCCTTAGAGATTCCATGTGCCAAGTAGCACAAAGTTAGGTGAGAGTTTATCTGAATATAGCAATGGTTCTCTCTTCTGTGTGTTGATGTCTAGACAATGACTGTTTAATTTTTTCCACCTCCATCCTGCCATTATCTCAGTAATTCATTCAGCAAGCATTTATTCAAGACTTGCTATGGCACACTGTCCTAGGTACCAGGTAAAATTCAAAGGTAAAAGAGGTACATTTCCCTTGAGAAGGTTGCAGAAAGGTAAAGCTATGAACTAAAGAATAGGCACATTAACAATGTAGTCAGTGCCACAGGCAGCCCCCTCTCCACATACATACATACACAAATTCATTCACTCACATAAACACACAAAGCCGCCTTGTGCCATGAATATGAGCTTCTAGGACTTCCTGACTCTTTCTAAGTTTTGAAGCAAAGACTTGGATTTAGTGCTAGATTTTGTCATTTCAATAGAGTCATTTCATGTGTGCCTGTCTCTATGTGTTTTTCTGTGGAGCCACCTTTATATAGGGTTTCCTTAAAGATAAAATATTCTGAACAATTGATGCCTTAAATAACCAGATTCATTGAATACATCTCAGTTACTCATTCTAATAGCAGATGTTGTTCAGAATTTTTTAAAACTAGTAATCTCTGACATAGTCACTAACTCACATATTCACTAATAGTCTCTGACAACATCACTTGTTTGGGAAGACAGAGACTGAGTCAACATGATTTAAATTCATAAAATCATAATAAATATCCCCAAAGTAGACATAACTTTGTTTTCTCAAGCCTTATTCATCCAAAGTATTCCTTTAGTTAGTTAACAGCAGGAATTTGGATCTTTTTTGTTTTTCATTGTAGTGAACAGTATGTAGAACAGTGCAGGTTTTGGCATCAGACTGCCTATATCTGAAATTGGGTTCTTCCCCTTACAAGCTGTGTGACTTCTCTAGGCCTACATTTTCTTATCTGTAAGAGGAAAATGGTGTGTGCTGTGCTTAGTAACTCAGTTGTGTCCGCCTCTTTACAACCCCATTGATTGTAGCCCACCAGGCTCCTCTGTCCTTGGGGATTCTCCAGGCAAGAATACTGGAGTGGGTTGCCATGCCCTCCTCCAGGGGATCTTCCCGACCCAGGGATCAAACCCAGGTGTCCATGTTGCAGGTGGATTCTTTACCATCTGAGCTACAGGGAAGCCCAAGATGGAGATAGTAATGGTAACTACTATGAAAAGAGTAGTAACATGTGAAGCATATAACTCTGGGACAGGCACTGTCATTGAATAAGCTATTATTATTATTATTATTATTACCATTATTCTTAAATTCAATTGAATATTCATTTGATTTCAGTGAGGACATTTAATATTTGGCAAGAAAAATATTTATTAGCTACCCTATGTCTACTTTTATGGCAGTAGAGTGATGAGAATTTGGATTAATTTTATCTGTTCTTTAAAAATATAAAATCCTTTTGCTCTGTTCACTCATTTCACTTATGTACGTATTGAAACCACAGTTACTAAAAGTTTAGTGTGTGAAAGGGATTGGGCAGGGCAGGAACACAAAGATTAGCCACTACTGATAAAAGCCAAAATGGACTTAGAGTTTGAGACTCTGATCCTGGAATTCTGCATGGTTTTCTAGCTAGTTAAGCCTAATATACTTAGGTACAAAAAATATAGTAAATAATGATCATATAATCAGAATTCATTGGTCTTTCATAATATAGAAATATTAGGTCTTTTTAAGCCAAGCCCAGTGTTTCCTTTTCCCTGATCTACATAGTTTTTAAGCCATTTCAGCAATCAATGAAGCTTCTTCAACTTATTCAAAGAAAGAAAAATATTCTCTATAGATTTCAGATTTCCAATTGGTGCTGAAATTCATGAGCAAAGTTATTATACTCATGTATTTATTTAACATACACAAGGCTCAAAGAGGAGGGAGGAAGGAGGGGAGGTATTATATAATGACACTATACAGTAGAGAAAAGATGAGTGTAACCCATACTTGCCTGAAGCTTATAGCAAAACTCTTATCTTTCACCTAAAAGAATCTAGGTCCTCCTTTTGAGATGAGAATAGAAATGGCAAATGTCTGTACTTTTTTTCTTAGCCATTTCCTGAAAGGCTTTATTTGAGGCAGCAAGAGTGAGGAATTTCCAAAGGGGAAACAAACCTTGAGAGGATATCCCTGAAGGAGCAATGCTGGAAAAGGAAAGGGAAGAAGGTATCGGCAGCAAAAAGTCTATGGCACTAAGATCAGATCAAAGGGAAGAAAGAAATAGCCCACTGGAAAAGGGTGATTTTGTTAGAGTTTCCGAATAATTGTTTAATTTATTGGTACTATGGTTTAGTTGAGTTCTTCACTGAAATGTTGAATCTGGCCAGTTCAATTCAACCAAATTTTATCTTTCCATCTCTATTCTTATTTGCTATCTTGTTATGATATCAAATGGATTTCTGAATTGCCAGTCTTTTTTTTTTTTTTTTTGGCAAGATTATATGTGATGTACTTCCCTAAATTTCTTTGTATTCAACTTGGAGAAACCTGAAAATCCCTTGATATCTTACCTAATTTGCTCAAGATGTTCATAGGTTCTCACATACCTTCCTCTCTGTTCTGCTGCTGCTAACAGATAATTATTTCAGTGTCTTTCAAAGGGATGGTCTCTAGAGTCCAACACAACAATAGTCAAAACCTCAACTGTCCTCAACATAAATGAAACTATCTTTTTAAAAATGAGAAAATCTGTCCCCTTTCCTCTTTATTTATTACAAATGGTTAAGGAGAACACGCCTGAGCTACAAAGTCACTTCTCCCAATTCTTTATCACAAGGACCAAAAGCTCTTTGAACATGTAGCAGCTCCTGATCTCAGATTTTTCAGATGCCACGAATCAGCCAAAGAAGCAATATTGTGATCCCAGTAGCTGTCATCATGTAGCACCATCACGGCCAAGGTAGGAACACCGCTCTCAATGACTTAAGCATTAGAGATGGTTGCCATCTCTCTTATTTGTACCTAAGTGAACTATTAAAAATAACCAAGTGTTCCTAGAGCAATTCTCTTATTCAAAATAATAATAATAATAATAAATGGATTAGCACATTATCTGCCAACATTTTTAACCAAGATCTAGGTAATTCTGATACAGGTGGTTGCAAGACTACACTCTGAGAGACACTAGTGTGTAGACAAACCCTCTTTCACTCAGTCAACAAACCAATCAAGCAGTGATTCCCAGGAAGTGAGTCTGATGCCAGGCTGATTAACTAAGTAAGAATGCAGCACCCTAGGCTTTCCCCTGCCCCAGATTTAAGGAGGCCCAGAAACCTGCTTATAAATGACTATGTTTAAAAGTTTTCCAGGAAACTAATACATAGCCTGTGGTGGGTGGAAAGGAATTGTATTTTAGTTTAACACATCTGTGGGGGGTCCTTGTCCCACAGTTTACTAGCTCTCTGACCTTATGTAATATCATTGGTCTGTAAAATGGCTGTTGCAAAGATTAAAGAAAGCAATGTGTGTTCAGAACCCAGCATGTTGTCAGCTGCTTGTTTTTGTTATCCTTACATCCTATGCTCAGCTCCAAGTAAAATATACAGAAGTAAAATGTGTGATTCATCACTTCAAGAATCTTATCATCTGTTTAGAAAAGTAATATAAATATTAATAAAAATTTTAAACAAGAGTTTATATTATAAGGCAGTAACATATTTGCACACATAAACACAATATTCTGAGTGAAAAAGTAGATTGTAAAATACAAGGACATAGGAAAAGTCCTAAGAAGCTTGCTTTAAAATATCTATTTCTCTTAATTCAAGTAAACTAATTTTCATTAATTCACCAGATTTTTATTTCTATTAAGAAATCTATTAGAATCATGAGTGATAAGCAACTTATTTAAAACTGAAAACAGAGAGAGTAGTATGTATTTGGGAAAGAGATTAATGGCATGGACTATAAGGGGCCCATGAAACCCCTAAAATATTATGCAGAGTTGTTTACATGAGTACAGTATTTCTGAGGAGAGGTCTATACCTTTTATTTGATTCTCAAAGGGTTTGGTGATCCCAAAATACTAAGGACCACTGGCCATTGCTATTTAGCACATCTTATGTGTATCTTCATATATGCTGAAGAAATTTAATTCCTGATTTCATTCCAAATAATCTCCATGTGTACATTCTCTGAAATATCCTCTGAGTCATTTTCCTCAAGCTTTCACCATTCAAATATCCTGAGAAAAGAAGTAACACAGTAGATTTCATTTAAGGAAATTGTAAAGCAGAATTTCATGGCTACTTCAGCCTATTCAAATTCTGCAGGCATCAGCAGGGAAGTTTATGTACATGTTTTAAAAGTTCCAGTGGCAGAGATTAACTGATGATTATTTTCTGAGTTTCCCCTTTTTTATTTTTTATCCATTGCTCAGTCTTTTGAATTATTTTCGATTAGTTCTATGTTTCTTTTCATCTCAGGTAGAAGAGTGAAGGAACTTCCCCTGGAAGGATATAATTCAATTTTGCCAACTTGCATTTTGCCAACCTAGCAATTCTTCCTCTTTGTGTTTGATTTGTAATGTGGTAACACCATTGATGTTGCACATTTTATTTCTCTCTCCCTTTAGGTGTGTGTGCAACATTGACTGTTCTCAAACCAACTTCAATCCCCTCTGTGCTTCTGATGGGAAATCTTATGATAATGCATGTCAAATCAAAGAAGCATCATGTCAGAAACAGGAGAAAATTGAAGTCATGTCATTGGGTCGATGTCAAGGTAATACTCACACCAAAATTCATTTTAAAGAATATCTTTAGTTTTTGCATGGGCTTCCCTTGTGGCTCAGCTGGTAAAGAATCTGCCTGCAACGCGGGAGACATGGGATCCCTGGGTTGGGATGATCCCCTGGAGAAGGGAAGGGCTACCCACTCCAGTATTCTGGCCTAGAGAGTTCCCTAGACTGTATAGTCCATGGGGTCGCAAAGAGTCAGACATACTGAGCGACTTTCACTTCACTTCACTCAGTCTTTACATAGCAATGAAAAGGGGAGATAATCCCTTTTTAGGCAGGGACTTCATTTTTGAAAGACAAGTTTGGTTTACAATGGACAGTAAATTTTACTGTAGCAATTGTGGTGATCATAGGGCCTACTGGCAACAGTCCATACTTTTTTTCTGTATAATGGCACTGCATATTCACAATGCCATCAACACTGAGTCCAATATTCAAGAGACTGTAGATACACTCCTTGAACAGGGTAAAAAGAAAGTTAAAATCATTTTTAGCAAAGAATATAAAGATTTATTGTATAACATTGAAGTCAAAACAAATCACACCATTTTTATATATTGAGTCAATAGAAATATGTCAAGTTCATTTTTATAAGTGGGATGTCCCAGAATGTCCTATTTTGTTTCTTGTTCAGAAACAAATATTTTCTTGGGTTTTGATTTGTTATTTTTTTACCCAACTTATCTCAGTTATAGTTTGAAACTTCTCCTTGCCCTAAGCATTAGAAAGCCTATATCTTTCTATTTGTCACTCTTAAACAGAAATTGATATTATAAATCTGTTTTGTGTAAAGATTGCTTAGAAATATATTTGAAAATTCCTTAATTGTAATGAAAATACTGTTAGAAAGATATCTGGATTACAAGTTAATCAATCTTTATTGTTAATTTTTTTAACACAGATAACACAACTACAACTATTAAATCTGAAGATGGGCATTATGCAAGAACAGATTATGCAGGTACATAATATTTTCTACTACAAAATATGAACACTACTATTAACGAATTCTGAGGAATCATTGTTTACCATTGGTCCTAAGTTGATCTTGTAAGACTCCTGACATGGGCTAGTCTTCTCTTGCTTTACTTCAAATTTGCAGTAGATAAGAATGAATTTTTGTAGAAGCAAATAAGATACTTTTTTTTTGCAGTTAAAGCAATTGTCAAAAATGTCAGTAAGATATAATTAACTTGTTTTGACAGCGCAAATAGTACAAATGACAAAACATTTATCAAATTAATGGGCATCAATGGAAATTAATGCAATTTTTGGCAGTATATTGTAATTAATGCAAATGTTCTAGTTTGAATTTTTATAAAAGTCAACAATAAAGAAGTCTTCTAGTCTCTAAAAAAGTTGGAAAGAAAGGACATCTATAAATAGTAGTACAGGCTGTCTTTACTCTGATGCAAAGTTTAAAAGGTATGGTTAATTTATTTTAAAAATAATAAAATAATTTACTTAGAAACTAAAATGCAAAATTATGCATTTATAATTTTATAGAGTAAAATTATACTCTGACACATGCAAAATTATAAAACATTTTATGCAGAAATGTAAATCTTATTTAGCAATTATAGAATATTATCCTGAGGAATATTTTTGCCTAATATAGTTTGCTTGAGAAATAATTTATGGGTATTCAAATATGATTTTTAACAGATTCTTAAATTTCATAGAAATTTAGGATAAAAATATAATAAAATCATTGAGGTTGATAATGATATGTAGTTTTTTTTAAACAGTTTTTCATTTAGTTTTTAAATATCTATAACTAGATTTATGGCTAATATCCAATGGAAAAATGCTTATCTTTTGAAATATGGACTATTTTCACTCTTTTTGAAACTGCATTTCCTTTAGCACTATTTCTGCCAGTATATTTATACACATAATAAATCTTGATGAAATTTTTTAAAATTGGATATTTTGCTTATAGATACTTCAAACATCTCAGAATTTGGAAATAATTCTTTTTAAAATTTTCCCATTTTTACCTTAATTTTCAACACATAAATAAATTTTCTTTGTATGCCAGTAGTCTGGAATTATCATGAACAATGATCCATGGAAAAAGACATTAGTTCTACATAGATATTGTATAGCTGTTTCCAAAATGTCCAGGAGACCTACTGATACACGTTCCTCGAAAAGAAGAGTCCATGGTCAGTAGTTTGAGAAGATTCCAGATAAACAAACAATTTTTTTTTTTCTTTTTAACCTAGAACTCCTCATAGCTTTTACGTGCAGTATAAAACTTTTCAGAAATATGCATCTTTTATTTATTTAATGCTTTTTATGTCTTGTGCAGATTTTCTCATATATACAAAATACACACAAATGTAGGCCATATAGTAAAATGAACCCAAAGGTACTCATCACTCAAACCGAGTAACATCAATCCATGGCTGACTTAACCCCATCCCCACACCCATCTTTCTCCACTTTCAAAATATGTGGAAATCATTCCAGAAATTACATCATTTTATTCATAAATACTTTAGCTTACATCTCTAAAAGATCAACTCTTTTTAAATAAAATTATGTCATTATCACACACAACACAGTTGTGAATAATGCCTCATAACACATAGCTTTAATCAAACTTATTGATGAATAACACATTTTTTGTGGCATAGTTTTCATTGCTAGTGTCACCAAGAATGTACTTTGGAATATGCTGATCTATAGGAAAATACTGAAAGTAATGAATGATAATAATGGAACATTGAAGTCCGGAGCTAATAGCGTGTTTTACATATTAAATGATGTCAAATTTAAATTCTATATTTTATTATAAAAAATAACTGTATGTTGGCATTTTAAATCACCACCTGACATATTTAATTTTACTGTAGCCTAAAATATTTGGAGATTTTATAAGAATCTCACTTTTATACAAGGAGTAAGTTACTAAATGCACTTAAAATATTTTTATACCTGTTTTGTAAAGTAATTCATTTAGAAAAAAATCCTCAAAAATGTTACGTTTTGTGAATATCTTCTCCATTGAACTCATAGGAAAAACAAACCTCTTCCTGAGAATTTTGTCCCTGAAACAAAGAATAGTTCAAGTTAATTAGCATCAATGTGCAAATATATTTGCATGTATAAATTTGTATCAGTAAATGGAATGGAGTATGCAATTCTCTCAACATTATGCATACTGCATATTAATGGTTTATCCATTTTCAAACAGTTTGGGAAGCTGAATTTTTATTCCAAAAAATATTTTATATTTGAGTTTGGTTTCAAACAGATCATCTCTGGTCTTCAGTGTCAATGTTTTTAGTTGACATTGTTTCTTTCCTATCTATGTCTTTATTGAACATAAGAATGTATTTTTAAGTACATGCAAATGAAAACTACCTAGACACTCAATGTTTTCAAAGATGTTCTAATTTGACATCAGATTTATCTAGTAAATCCTAAAGAAAAACTTTTGAGATAAAAAGTAAAGTTTAAAAATAACATGTGTTGAAATCCAGATTTAAGATAGGAACAAAGATAATGTCAATGGAAGCTTGCAATTTCTAATTAAACATTGATTGCAAACTTTAAAATTCCCCTGGATTTAATTTAGATGTTTATCTTCATCAATGATCTTATTAAAATGTAATATATACACTGGCAACCCACTCCAGTATTCTTGACTGGAGAATCTCATGGACAGAGGAGCCTGGTGGGCTGCAGTCCATAGGGTCGCAAAGAGTCAGACATGACTGAGCAACTTCACTTTCACTTTCACTTTCATACACTTTTGAGACATTATTTAAATAATAGTCATGCTGTGTGTGCTGAGTCGTTCAATCGTGTCCGACTCTTTGCGACCCCATGGACTGTAGCCTGCCGGGCTCCTGTGTCCAAAAAATAGTCATGTCCCTCAGCCTTTCTAGGACTTCCCTTGTGGCTCAGCTGGTGAAGAATCTGCCTGCAATGTGGGAGACCTGGGTTCGGAAGATCCCCTGGAGAAAGGAAAGGCTACCCACTCCAGTATTCTGACCTGGAGAATTCCAGTATTCCATGGAGAATACTCCTGGACTGTATTGTCCATGGGGTCACAAAGAGGCGGACATGACTAAGCGACTTTCACTTTCACTTTTCAGCATTTCCAAGCTTCCCATAGTATTTGAATTCTCCTGAATTTTGGGACTCAAGCTTTAGAAAAAGTAAAAGGGCACCAAATGGAAACTCAGTAGTTATTGTCCTCTTAATTTGTTTCACAAGCTCAAAACTCCCCAAGGAGGGAAAACAGGAACTGGGTAACTCCTTTTCCTAGAAGTTTGCTAGTGCTCACAGCTAATTTAATGTCCGTCACTTCCCCTGTTAGACAAACATTCATGTGCTCTTGCACCACAGAGAGGTACAGATCTTTAATGCGTTCTGCTTTTTTTCCTTACCTGTCTTTAATATTATACTTTAAAACTTTTAGCTTCCCCCCACTTTCTTCACTTTGAGCCTACCTTGAAGCTGTTAATATAAGAACACATATATATGATTACAAAAATGGAAATACACTCTAAAGAAAGCCTAAATCTAAAAATAAATATGCTGTATCTCATTTTTTATATAACCTTAAAAAGAGAAACTCCAAGTAAGGACTAGTAGGGGCTCATTTATGAAAAAATGAATGCAAACCACGAGAACCATGCCCCCAGCAAGACTAGATCCTGACTGGGCTTATGCAGAGCTGTGAATCCCCAGGCTCTTCCAGGCACAAACCTGAAATGGACACTAAAAACCAAAGAACTTGTCCGATCATCCCGGTCGGCAGCACTTGCTGATTGTGTCTGACTTGGGTCTCTATTTTGCCTTCTCTTTTTTAATGAGACTCAAGGCATTAGTGAGTCCTGAATCAAGAGCTTTGGGTCTCTTTGTTTCAAGGCAGACAGGATCCCTGTCTGATGAGCTAAACAAGCCACTTAATGCTATTCTCCCTTCATCAGTCTAACATGGGCTTAGATTTAGGTCTTCTTGTTCACTAGCAGAAAGGTTCAGAGAACTCAATTTTATAAAACCACAAAGCTGGGGCTTTCAGGGATTTCCATTGTTTCAAAATGCTAATATTAAACTTTCCTTCTGGAAGTTTTTAAATAGCAAATGTTTTACATCTCTTGAAATCTGCAACATTGTCTTCATAGATGTGTGTATGTGTGTGTTGCCCTCATGTCTTGTAATGAAAAAAGAAATGAAGTGAAACTATTTTGTTTTTCTTCATCTGATATGCGTATTTTCTGATTGGGTTGCTTTTCTGTCTGAAGGTCTGGTCATGCTTCATAAAAATGACTATATATTTTTTCTGGTAAAAATATGCTTAATTTTATAAGTTATTAGATGTAAAAAAAAAAAACAAGCAAAACAATCATGAAGTTAAACTAGTCTGTCTTTTATCATCTGGAAAATAAAATATATTTTTTAATGCCATTCTGTACTGATTTCCAAAAGTATTTGCAGCAACTTACAATTAAAATATAGTCAATGAACTTTTTTAAAGAGAAATTGAAAACATAAAAGCAGAACTGTTGAGGAAAATAAATATATCAGCAACATAGACTATTACAGTTACTGCATTTAGCCCTAAGCATTCTTGCAATCAATATGAAAAGAGAAATCATGATTGAATCAATTCATTCAACAAATATTTGGTCTGTTATATGCATTCTGATGTCCTGAGCTTTACAAAGGTGAACATATCAATGGAAATCTCTGCTAAAATGAAGCTTAGCTCTTTCACTGTCTGATCAAAATAATCAGTTCAGAGGCCACAGTTTCTTTGGAACTAAATTCTAAGGAAATATTTAGTGTAGATCTTATAAGGCATCACTGGAAAATATAGAATGGATAAGATCTTCAACAGTGATTTTTATAAAATATGCCAAGAGTATCTCTATATGGCTGGGGACTTTTAAATCAATTTTTGATATCATTCTAGACCATAGCATTAAAATATGTATAACT